TCCCCGAATCGGGGGGTGGGGCAGGTGCGGCCCGAGGGCGGCCAGGCCGGAGCTGGACACGCGTGCCCATTTTGCAACAAGTGGTTTTCTACCCCCGTCCCCGCTCCAGTTTCAGCACCGCGGACAGCACGGCCTCGCTGCCCACCTGACTTGATTTCACAGGCAGCGCCGAACAGTTCTGGCCGTCTCGGTCAGAAACCTGGTCGCTCCCGACTAGAAACAACATTTTTTAGAAAACAAAATAAAAAGATCACGCGTACGCGCCGGGGTTGTTATTTGTCTCTGCTGCATCCCGATGCAAAATTCGACAAATTGCGCGCACTTGACACGAGAGGAAATGGGAGGCGCGGATCGGGGCGACACCCCGACACCCCGTCACCCTGCGCTCCGAGGGCTGCAGGTGCTGCCGTCCTGCAGTGCCGGGGGACCGCCGTGTTAATGCATTCATAACCGGCCGAGATATATTGCTACAGACCGAGCGAGGCGGAAGCACATTAAATCATAGGAATAATCTAATAAAATATTTATTAAAATATCCTTTTTATATCCCGTCTGATAAATTGCTGGCCGTGAAGGGAGCGCGCAATCGCGCCGAGTGCGCGCACAGGCTGATAAAAATGACATTCTGTCCGGGAGACAAGACTTCATGACCACACTCGGCGCAGAGTCTTAGGAAAACCGACCCGCAGCTTTCTGACCTTCTTCAGACCGAGGGAACATGTTCTGAGAATATCGAAGAACAGCGACGAATATTGCTATTGACTTTTTTTCCTGGAGCAACGCTAGTTATAGTTATGTAGTTCAGGTGGGTAGCTGCGTCACGCAGGCGTAGGCTGCAAAGTTATGTTACAGTATGTGGTGATGTCTTCCCTTTTTGAGAATACGAATAAAATATCAGTTCCTTGCCTTTTGCGCTCAGAAAAGTCGAGGCGCATACATGGTTCGCAAAAGGTCCTTTCGGGTCTTTCAGGCACAAAAGAATGGGCCGCTTCTAGCCTGTTTAAAAGCCCGCATCACCCCCAGGACGGGCGGGTGAGGACAGAGCCGGGCTCTCACGTCGGGCCACAACAGGAAGTGTCCAGGACTCCCGGAAGTGACGAGTCTGGGCGGCCGCGCTCCTGGTCACAGCTGGATGACCGAGGAGGAGTTGGTTGGGCTACAAGACAACACACATTTCTCACGCTGGAAGCAA